TGCTACACTACAAAATGGAGGAAGAACAAGTTAAGGAGACAATGGTTGTATGGGCTAAAAACTTTGGATTTAACATTGAGCTGGATAGTTGGCAAAAACTTTGGGAAAGAAACAGGAAATTGACATTGGCCACATGATACAAAAATCTATAATGTTTTACAGGTGGCATCTTCCTTTGGCAAGATTGGCTAAAATGTTTAGTAACACAACCCTGAAATGTTGGAAATGTAAACAATCACCAGGTACATACTACCACATGTAGTGGTAAAAAAGTAAGGAAATTTTGGCAACAAATCCAGATGTGGTTAGAAAAAAAGGTTGGACAACGTATAGAATTTAAACCAGAAATATTTCTATTAGAAATTATAACAAATGGTTATAGTAAAGAGTCAATATACATAATATTACACATTCTGATGGCAGCGAGAATGGTATACACCCAGGAATGGAAAAATGAAAATAATCCTTCAGAAAAGGAGATAATAAAAAAGATACTAGTTTGCACAGAATTGAACAGAATTGACCAAATGCAAAGTTTTATAAAATCCAAAATGACCAGCAGCGGGGTTGTCCTGACATTGCGTCATGATGAGAGCTCTGAGCGACCTGGTGGGTACATACAATAAACCCCGATGTCGTAGCAAGCCCTCTTCAAAGGACCATGGGGAATCAGGTCCAACGTCCCCCCGTCTCTGCTGCATCCACGCGTCCAATCGTTGCGTCTCCCATATGCGAGCCCACAAATCTACTGGATCTTGAAGTAAGGCCAAGGATTCCGGTGGCAACACCATTCATGGAGGAAGAGCATCCTCGGGACCTATATATTCGGGTTTCCGAGACAACGCGTCTGCTCTCCGATTCTGTCCACTTGGAACATAAGTGACGGAAAAATTGAACCTTGCGAAAAACAATGACCACCGGATCTGACGTTGGTTCAACTTCTTGGCGGTAGACAAATGTTCCAAGTTTCGGTGATCCGTCTGAACCTCCACCTTGTGCCGAGCCCCCTCTAGATGATGTCGCCAGGTCTCAAATGCAGCCTTAATAGCCAACAACTCCTTTTCCCAGATGGTATAATTGCGCTCAGAAGCTGTGAGCTTCCTAGAATAGTATGCGCAAGGGAAAAGAGGTGCACCATCCTTCAGAGCTTGCAACAATACTGCCCCAATAGCTACATTAGAGGCATCTGTCTCGACCACAAATGGACGATTCGGATCAGGATGCCTCAATATCGGCTCGGCCACAAACACTTTCTTTAAAATTTCAAAAGCCTGTTGTTGCGGAGGCCCCCACCGGAACGGGACCTTCTTACGGAGGAGCTGAGTGATGGGATCCATTAACTTAGCAAAGTCCGGAATGAAGGTCCTATAGTAATTGCCGAACCCCAGAAGACGTTGCACGTCCTTTACTCGACGAGGGGCTTCCCAACTACACAAGGCCTCGACTTTTTTTGAGTCCATAGCAATGCCCTCGGGAGAGATGATATGCCCTAAAAACTCTATCGACGACTGAAAAAAGAAGCACTTCTCCAGTTTCGCGTAGAGTTTATGCTCCCGAAGACGGTGAAGCACTTGACGAACCTTCTGAAGGTGGTGATCCCTGGACTGAGAGTAGATCAAAATGTCGTCCAGATACACCACGACAAACCTATCCAGCATGTCCCGGAAAATGTCGTTCATCAAATGCTGGAATACCGCGGGAGCGTTGGTCAGACCAAATGGCATGATGGTGTACTTGAAATGACCATAACAAGTGCCAAATGCCGTCTTCCACTCGTCCCCCTTGCGCATCCGAACCAGGTTGTAGGCCCCACGCAGATCGAGTTTAGTGAAGATAGTAGCCTCCCGCAACTGCTCCATCAATTCCGGAATAAGCGGCAAAGGATAGCTATTCCTCACTGTGATGGCGTTCAACCGTCAGTAGTCGCAGCATAAACGAAGCTCTCCTGACTTCTTTTTAACAAAAAGAACGGGAGCCGAAAGAGGGGACGACGAGGGTCGAATAAATCCCCGAGCTAAGTTTTTATCTAAAAACTCTCGGAGCGCAACCAACTCGGGCTCCGACATGGAGTATAACTGACCCTTTGGCAATGGAGCATCCGGTATCAGGTCCACGGGACAATCATAAGCACGATGTGGTGGTAATTGATCTGCCTCCTGTTCACTGAAAACATCGGAGAAGTCCGTTAACTCCGAAGGTATTGAGACAGCAGGAGCGGCGATATCTTGACCAAGGCAGATATGTCTCAGGTGGTCCACACATTGGAGACTTGGAAAAGAAATGGCGTTCTGCGCCCAAGCCACCAACGGATCGTGCAAACGGAGCCAGGACACGCTGAGAACCAAAGGGAGATGAAGGTTCGAGGTGACATAAAAACTTATCGCCTCCTCATGATCCCCAATAATCATACGCACTGGCTGGGTGGCGAAACGAATGGGCCCAGACTTGAGCTCGCGCCCATCCACGGTTTCCACCTTAATGGGTGGATCCACAGCAATCAATGGAATTTCAAAATGCTTGACAAAAGCCCAGTCCATAAAGCTGGTTGTAGCCCCTGAGTCCACCAGTGCAACGGCGGGAATTCCCTCCTTCTGGGACTGCAAAAAGATTCGAGTGTCCAAAAGTAAATGCCTAGGAGGGCCAGGATTTACTTCAGCCATTTGAGGTGGAGGTGTGGAACGTGCCCAACCTAGGGTTTCCCCGAGGTCGGGCCTACCCCGTTTCCCGACGGGCCAGGAGTGGTTTCAGGCACGGGTCTGCGAGTCCCTCTCCGAGTGCAGGAATTAGCAAAATGTCCCGGACCCCCGCAATAAAGGCACAAGCCTTCCTGGAACCTTCTCGAACGTTCTCGCGCCGTTAAGGGAGGGCGGAGTGCGCCTAACTCCATCAGCTCCTCAGTCTTAACCGTGGTTTGAAAAACTTTCGGTGGCGTGGTTTGTGCACGAGAAAAAGAAGGTGGTTCCATAACGGGCCGTTTGCTTCCGCGCTGTTGTAAACGGGCTTCAATACGTAAGCACTGGATTACCAATGCATCCAGAGTTGAAGCCCGCTCTGCATGGACTAACTCATCCTTGATGGTATCAGACAAGCCTTCCTGGAACGCATCCATATGAGCCGGTTCGTTCCAGTTAGAGTCCATACACAGCAAATGAAATTCTGCAATGTATTCCTGCAGGGGACATTTCCCCTGATAAATGTCCCGTAACCGTCTAGCCACAGTTTGCATTTTAATTGGATTTTCAAACATAATCCTCATTTGTTGTAGAAAATCCTGAAAGTTGTCCAACAACGGGCTATCTTGAATTAACAAGGGAGTAGCCCATTTGGCAGCCTGCCCAGATAATAGGCTAATCATAAATCCTACCTTAGCCCGGTCATTTGGGAAGTCTTCAGGCCTCAAAGATAGAAATAATTGGCACTGCCCCATAAATGCCGGGAACATGTCCGTTTACCCTGAAAATTTCTCCAGCATGGATACCGGGCTTTTCCTCAAGGGAGGGGCTGAGGGAGCAGCAGCAGGACTTTGCAAGCTGGAAATACGATTCACTAATTGTGTCACCTGATTTTGAAGAGTCTGGTTGCTCTGAATCAGTTGATTTATCTGTTGCTGTTGCTGCTCCACCAAACGCTGCAGTTGGGTTTGATCCATCTTGGTTTAAAGATGATTTGTGTGGCCAGAAGCAAAAATGTTATGTCTCCCCTTTAATTGCAGGCGAGCAAAACAAAAAGCAGCCGTTTCAGAATTAGTTCAAATCAAAAACAAACCCCCACAAGAGAACGGCTGGAGTAATTCCAAAACACAGCAATAAATCCACATTCTGTCCGGCAATCCTGGCGTAGCAGTAATTCACAAGCCTCAGAGAGTTTATTGCATATCTTCACTCCATTTAGACACTTTGCTTCTGGCGAGTTCCACCAGCCCAGCCGTGTCCTTTTATCCACTTATGGATTGTGTTAATTTCCCTAATTAATTACTGGCTCTACGCCTCCTCCCTAATTGCGATTGGCATCTGAGCCTCCTTTTGTTTCTGACGTCAAGCCATAAGTTCTCCAAATTGTCATCTCCGCTGGAAAACTCTCTCATGCCTTCCCTGTCAGCCATTCCCGGCTGCTGCTCAGATAACGAACCAGAGGAGGTCGAAGGTCCTGACAACTCTATTAAATCAGGTTTATCTCCCCTTGTTACATCCATCTCCTCATCCTGGCTACTATCCAAGTCACTAAGCAATGCTGGCTCATATTTTGCTGCCATATCTTCGTTGCTCGAACTCATATCTGCCACAGGAGCAGATTCCAAACCCAGAGCCACAACAAGTAGTATATAGGTTATTTGTCTTTCACTTTGGTGTGTATGGCAGAGGAAATGGCAGGATTGTCACACTATGTTCGATATACCCATATGTAAATAACAAAAATATATTTTTAAAAACAGTGTCAAAATGTACTAGGCATATATGACATATATACTTAGGATTAAATAATATACTTGAATGTTCAGTAGTAGTAAATAAATAGACAGGGAAATTGTATCTCATTGAGGCCTTTGAGGCAAGGGGCCAGGTGAGGCTATGCGCCCTGCAAGGTGAGGCAGGGCATGACAAGGAGTGGTGAGGAGGGATGGGACAGTGCATGGCAAAGAGAGGCTAGGAGGGGTGCCCCTCGACATGATTGATGTCAAGTTGGCCTTGCCCACTCAGTCACATGACCACCTAGTCATGTCTATTCAGTCACTCATTAGAGCAGAGAACCGGTTGTTAAATTATTTGAATCCCACCACTGGGTTTGTTGTTATAGAAATGGCCAGTTTATATTATTATATAAAAGTAAAAAGTTGAGTTTTGATGCTATTATCTTTTTTTTTTTTGAAACAAATTTTATTAATTTTAAAAACAAACAAAGCATCATTAGACATTAAAGACATTAAACCTCTTTCCATTATAAATTTTTACAAGGCAGATAAAACATTGTTTTATACAATATAATTCTGATATATCCCATTTCCACTTAAATATCTTTTAGCAGATTTCTCATTATTTCTCTTTGCTCTTATTCAATTACATTTTTTCTATATTTATCCATTTTATACTCATCATATTCATATTTCCCTCTGTCTTGTTTACAATTATTCTCCTCTCGCTTTCCTCCAAGGTTTTATTAAATCTCAAACGGACATACACACACAAAACACAAAAACATAAAACTTCTTTTTAAAAAGTAGCTTGGCCCCGGATTACCTCTCTTTGTATCGACTTCAATTAAATTCATGTTCAACTTATATGCCATTACCTATCTTATTTACCCTTCTATATCTTCATTATAACTTCTCCCCGCTTTCCACTCTTCTTAATTCTATTTTATTTATTTCATCTTAATTTAAATCATTATATTTGTATCTTTTGTCCATTCTTTTCCAATTATCCATTTATCTCATTCCCTATAGTAGAAAAAAAAGATTTCTCCTGAAATCACTAATCGAAGTGTGATGCCTTTCCATCGCTCCCCTAAATTAACATTTAAGGTAACACCTAGTTCCCTATCTGATTCTGCTTAGTACATTCTACCTACTAAGTTTTTTAAAAAAGAAAAAAAAATAGTAAATCCATAAAGTAATTAAATATATAATTAAACATTGAATCTCATAACATTCCAATTATCTATTTCAAAAACAAATACCACAATAATAAGTTCATACTAACATCCACTCTATACTTAAACTAAATATTTTATAGTATGAACTTATAATAAGTTCATACTAACATCCACTCTATACTTAAACTAAATATTTTAAACATTCCTTTTTCTTAAAATCTATCATTATTAAACCTTTAATGTTTTAATCTTTACTTAAGTCTTATAAAATTCTAATTTTCTATTTCTAATACTAATAGTACAATACTATCTTATGTACCTTGCAGAATCCTTTTGAAACAAAATTATGCATTACCCTTTATCCCTAAAAAAAAAATTCTTTTTCACATCTTGTTTCATACCTTTGTGGCTTTTTCCCCCCTTCTTCCTTCCTATCTGATCCCATCTGGTCTTTTTACCCCCCTTAGCTTCCACTCTCTGTTGTATTTTTCTTTTCTTTTGCTTTCTAACATTGTATTGATTTTGCATCTTATTTTTCTCTTTCTTGGATGTTTTTTAAGTCTTATGTCCTTTTTCCTTCCTCTTTTTCTCCTTCCTTTCTTAATCAACTTTGTAGACTCGTTAAAGATGGCTTCTTCTTCTTCTTCTTCTTCTTCTTCTTCTTCTTCTTCTTCTTCT